CTGTTCCTACTTTTCTGTCTGTTAAAATGATGGATTTCTGCTCTAAGCAGGGATTAGATCAATGGCATAAATGGGCCTATCTGACTATAATTCTAATTTCAAAAATGTGGAAAATCAAGGATATAAGTTTCATTTGTTTTCTGGAAACAAACAAATGAAATAAAAAGTACTGACCAGGCTTGACTCTGCTTACCTTCCACATTCAGACTCGATCAGCCAAGTATTGCTACCTGCTCAGGCATAACATCACACTTACTAGAACTGCATGTGAACAAAGCCAGAATAAAGGCAGCATTGGGAATTTCGTGTGATCTTGAGAGAAAATGCTTGAATAAGAGTAGCTAAGCATCACATTTGAAGTTTGCTTTAGATATTCATTTCATCCTTCTCTCAGGTCTAACCCTCAAGTTAAAAGTTTGTAACAGCATGGCATTTAGCACAAAATAAAAAGTGCCATTCACCTTACAAAATGGTCTGATACAGTTGCTCTAGCTGGTTCACTGTTTGTCTAAATACAGACTGATTTTTGTCAATAGTTCTTGAATAGATACACTATAGTGTTAGGCTTTTTCCCATGAGGTACATAAATCCTTGAAAACTTTCCACAGAATTTGGCCCTCAGGATAACACTTGACAGTCCCTAGATATTCAATGACTTTCATGAGACAGAACCTGGCTCACTTAAAATTTAAGGTTGTCTTAATTAAATTTCTGGGATAAAGTATTACTTTACCCTCTAACATGTTAAAATAAAGAATAGACAATGCTCCACAATTGAGAATACTTATTAAAATGTAGAACAGAACTGAAAGAAATAAATTATGTACACACAAATGCAGATTATTATGTGAAAAAAAAGGTAATAAGATACAGATTAATTCTATTAAAAATCCAATCCAATACAGTAAATAGAATTTTCAAGAGAAGCAATTTTATATGCATTTGACAGCTTCTCATGTATACTTTTCCAGAGGATTCAGGAAAAATCCAAAATTACTCTATAAAATATTCTACCATTACAAATCCAATGAGAATTGGCATCCTCAGTCATCTTTCTTGCTGCTTTTGATTTTCCCTAAATCTTGGCATAAAGAGATAAACCTTCAACACAACCATCACCATGCCTGGTTCCCCTTAAAACAAAGTTGTACAACTTCTAGGCCACAAGATGCACATGACCTTTGAATGGAGGTTGAGGGCTGAACTCTAAAGAGTAGTGGTTGCTGAAGAAAAAAATTATTAACATTTAAATTCAATTAAAATTAAATCTAGTTAGTTAGGTGGCACTGAGTTAAGCCCAACCCCCAGCCATGATATAGACAAAGGCCCAACGTTTTCAATCTTTCCAAAGAGAGTGTTCCAAAAATGCATTCACTCTTCGATGTATTATAAAAGGATGTTGGCTGCACTTTAAACAACAAAATTAAGGTAAGAGTCACAAGCAGAACAGAAAAGAATGTGTCCTCGAGAAAGGTTCCTCCTTCACACAAACAGCCCCAAGCAGCAGGAGGGCAGACTATTTATGAATCATTAAAAACTGATATAAATGACACTTTTGAAGCTCTGCCAGGACATGGACAGGAAGATTTATTACAGGGACTTGATCATCTTAGGCAAACATTGGCCTCAATTAGCAAAACCGTAGCTCCATTTATTGACCTGAGTTTTTCAACATCAAAAAACAGTCATAAACATAGAAGTCCCCAGAATAATCTTTTTCTACATTTTGATGTGATGAATTTGAAACTATAACTAAACTTATTCCTCTTGTGGATTTGGGAATATCGTCAAATAATTCTAGTCTAAGGACGAAGATTTCAGAGACAGTGGGAAAGTTTTCTGTTCCACTGTTACCACCATCCTTACTTCTAGCTCTATTTCCTTTGTTATCTCCATTTCCACCAAAGGGTGCCCTACCAACTGTTGTGGGATCTGGAGATCCCCTAGAAATATTTCTGATAGCACCCCTTCCAGCTGAATTGAATGACATTTGTCCAGCCTTTGCTCTCTGGCCTTCATATCTTGGATCATCACAGGCTGAAAAATAAAAAAGACCCATCATACTTTGCTTAAATTTCCAGTTATGATGTAGTTCAGCATAATTGGTGCTGGCTGGACACATCCCAAGAAGTGGGATTAATGAGGACAGCCTCTTTGCCAAATTTCATAGACAGCTCCCAGATCAGATGATAATATCACCACTAGTATGGCAACAATCTAAGAATTTTAGAGGCCTCTGCTTTATGCAAACTTTTCTTAAACTGAACCTAACCTGGATCCGCTGGCAATGATTACCCACCCAAACATAATTATTGGCCTGGTACTATCATTGCTTGATTAAACAGTGATGTTGCAAAATCTAATACCCTACATACTTAAGTTTACGGTACTCAGTTGATTTGACATGATCATTTCCCAAATATATTTAACAACATTTAGTAGGTTTCTTTTACCATCCTGCCATATTTCTACAGCAAGGGGAAAAGTTTGCCCTAGTCACAGTAAATTGTTCTCTCAACTTGAGGGTAAGATTGCCAAATGTATTGTATCAGAGCCAGCTAAGCTACTTCATTCAGCAATTGTGGGAAGTACTGCTGATGAGACTGTTTTGAATAATTATGATAAACTGATTAAATTCCTCCAGTCCACAATAATTACCTCATAACCATCACATTTTATCAAGAGGTAAGTCACTTAGTAAGTCTCAAGCCTGATTCAATTATAATTGAAGAGGCCAGGAGAGGTCTGAACTCATTTTTCAGACTATATAAAGGAAATTCACTTTTTATCCCATCTGAAGCAAAGGTATAAGTAATTACTCCATCAAAAAAAAAGAGGGAAGCCACTAGGAAATCATGGCAACAGCTGATAGCTATTCATTTAAAAACAGTTATTTTCTGGAGACTGGTAGCTCTGTCCCTTCTGAATAAAGTATCATGTCCTTCCTCCCATAAATGACATTTGGGAAGAACATTTTGCTGTTTTGTATGCCCAGAGAGAGGCCTACTTTCTAGACTTTGAGTTAGATGAGACTTTCTTAATTGCAGAAGGCTCCCAGTTTGTATGATTTATGAAACCATAAACAGTAATGTGAACTTGTAGGCTTGAATCTGAATCCATCCTGAGATAAACAGGTGGGGTTCAGGGGAGACAGATCTATACTATAACACACCATAGTACTCCAGCATTTGGTGGAAAAGTATTCCTTCAGAAGCAATTCATCCCTATTTGCAACTTTCATTGACTTTAACTCTGCATTCAACTCAATTTTCAGGACTAAATTATGGTACAAACATAAAGATTCCACAATTGACAAATTATTGTTCCTACTATTTAAAAGGGCTGGGGAGTCAGAGTTGTGGAGTTACTAGAGTTGGGTTACTAGAGTCGGAGTTGGAGTCAGTAAAAATGTACTGACTCCAACTCCTAATAAATTTAAATTGTATATAATATAAATAATATAATATGTTAAAATT